TTTTTTTTTTCTAACTAGTCACTTTTTATTTCTCTCAAAATAAAATCTATATCGCGCTCTAAATATTCTATTATGCCCATATTTGATAGATATTAAAATTAGATTTGTAACAAATTTTGATAAAAGTTAATATAATATGGTTGAAAAGTTATGAATCTTATAAAATATGTAATTAAAATTAATTGTTGACTTTAATTTAGAAAAATAAATAAATTATAATTTCTATCTGTTGGAAGAAAAATTTCTTCAATTTTATTATAATTATTATAATATATAGAATGTACAAATTGATTAAAAAAAAGTAATAAAAATATATTCGTTACAGCAACACTTGATACTATGTTAGACAAAAATCCTAAATTTTTAAATATTCTTTAATATATTTATAAAAATAATATAAGTTTAAGAACATTGTTAAACCTTTTATCGAGCTAAAAACAAACATAAATGCAAGTACGAAAAGTAGAAGGCTCAAATAGCTCTTACTCGCATCGTAAGCATCCATTCATCCTACTCTACCTCTTTAGTATCAATATCATTACAGATAAAGATTCACATTAAGGAAACCCTATGGTCTAGAACTCGATTACGGTCTTAGAATCATATCATATTCTAGTGAAACATATACAAATCTTTTGATGCTAATCCTCTTGATAATTGTTGACTCAACATTTATTTTGTGTCCGAGTTGGATTTTTAGAGCACCATCTATTGAGTCCTATTAAATCATATAAAAACTTTCTTAACACTTTGAAATCAATGCTGATTTGATCCACGTATGACTTTTATTGAAATGCTTAGTTACACTTAAAATAGCTTAAAAGTTACTTTTTTAAAAAAAAAAAGTTACCCTAAATTTTATCTTTAGAGCTTGTTTGGGAGGGATTTTTGGGGGGAAGAATTGATTTTGAATAGTGATATGATGGGAAATGTGTGGTTGAAAAAAAAAGAAAAAATTATTGATGTGATGGAAAATATTATTTTATTGAAGAATGTGTGGTTGAAAATGAGAATTGATTTACTGTAGAATTTGAGAATAAAAAACAAACACAATAGTTGAC